CCCTCCCCGAGCTGAGCCAGGTTGCCTCCTGCCCCGACACCACCCCGCTAGTCCTCCGCAGCCCCGCGGCCCCGCAGCCCGCCTCCCGCGCACTACCTTGCGGCTCTGAGCTCCCTCTGCTCGGCCTCCCAGCTGTCTGCGCTGCATTCACCCCAGAGATAGAACGGGCCTGTCACGGAGCTCCCGGCGGCCCCTGGCCCGCCTGACCCCAGCGACCCCGGGCGGAGGTCGCCGGCCTGTCGCCCGTCCCTCCTCCGGCCTCCCAGGCCGCAGCCGCTTGCATCCTGCACCGCCCAGCGGGGTCCGAGCGAGCCGGGAGACCCGACCCGATGCCGGCCGTGTGACCCTGGGCGCATCGGCTCTCGCCACACTTCCCGAGAGCTGCAAGGAGGGTTACAGGAGAAAACAGGCAGAGGACTCGGCCTGAGGCCTCGCACTGACATTCGGTCAAACGTTGGCGGTGGGGAGGAGCCGCCCGCTGAGCCTGCTCGCCTCCCCCTCGCCCCCTGGTGGGGGTGCCCCGCTTCTGGGTCTGGGTTTCCCGTGGGTTCCGCCGTGGCTGAGCTTGGCGGCCGTCGCAGCAGTCCAGGCCACCCGCGGGCAGGCTGTGGCCCCTGCCCCGGCATAAGGGCCAGCCCTCTGAGGGCACTTCGGATTCGCCCCCAGGGCAAGCTCGTCCCACCTGGCATGGCCAGAGTGTGCGGGCCAGATCCAATGAAGGAAACTTTGTTTTACTTCCAATATACAGATGAGGAAGTTGGGGCTCAGAGGGAATTTAAGGAACTTATTCTGAGTGGCTCAGCTAATACACCGAGGCTGGGGCTCACACCCAGGCTGCCCCCTGGGGGGGCGGGGGGGGGGGCAGGGGCTCTCGGGCTCCCCTCCTTCTGAAGGGCTTTGCAGGCAGGTGGATGTCATTGGGCCGTTTTATCACTTCAAGACACTTCTCTTGGGGTTGCCCCTCTGGAAAAGGAGGGGATTGTGCAAATCATTAGTTTTTAGGCTGTCCTCTGGGGAACCCCTGTGGCTGCCCCCCACCCCCGGTCCTTGATTGACCAAAGTAACCCCACTTCTGTTGTATATACATCAGGCTCCTGTGTAAGAGCCAGTCTGAAGGAAGGAGGTTGGAAACCCACTGAACTACATGAGCTCCGTGACCCCTTCTTGCTCTCAGACCCTGTGACCCCCACCTGCCACACCGCATACAGCCTGAGTGCCTTTTAGCATAATGCCTGCCAAATGCAACATGGAGGTTATTCTCCAGCAGCCTCACTCTGTGCGTGGAGAGTGACGCCTCCCCCCACCAGGGAGACAGCCAGCCTCCAGGCCCAGGACAGGAAGGGGCAGTGGTCTAGCTTGCTGGGGGTTGGGAGCTACCCCCGGCATTCCTGCGAGACAGCAGGAGAGACCCCCCTCTCCTCAGCTAAGACTAAGGAGCTGCTAGGGCGCCTCCTGCAGACCCCACCTGGCGGCCAGGCAACAGGTGGAAGAAAATGGACAGTGGTTTTCTGATTTTTGAATCTCGGTTCTTCGTATCCCCAACTAGACCGAGAGGACCCTCCTGTCGGACCCTCCTGTCATCCACCCGCTTTATGCATAGTAACTGCACATATGCCAAGCTCTCCATAAAGTACTGGGCTCACGATCTCTTGTCACGGCGTGCCAGGCCCCGTGGGAAGTGCAGACTTTGGCCAGCTCAACAAGCCTATGAGGAAGGCATCGTGGGTCCCCTTCTCCAGGGGAACTAGGCTCAGGGCGGCTGAGTGGCACGTCCAAGAGAGGGTCCCCCAGGCACCAGGCCGACTTCAAAACTCGTGTTCTTTCTACTGTCCCGTCCTGCTGTCCTGTCTGCACGCTCTATTTCTGCTCACTCACGGTCCTTCATGCATTCTGCACCCCTCCACCCACTGAGCAGTTATGGAGCCCGGGCCAGGCCCTGTGGCCCCAGCACTCCATGCTGACATAACTTGCTGACAGGTCAGCTCACTGTTGGGCAGATGCACTCACATCACACGTTCTTTGCTTCTTAGCCACGTTTCAACGGACTCTAGTTCAAGTCCTTAAGATGTCTCCAGCATCTTATTCTAGTTTTGTAGCTATCTTACTTCTCTAGGGGGAGAAACACTCGTAAAATGGTTACACTGCCATAAACTCAGACGCATCCTTGGATAGTGTGCTCTAGACTGACTGATCTAATGACTGATACCTGTCTAGATATTGTTGCAAAACTTCTAGACGGGACACTGCAGTATTGCTTCAAACCGTTCTGACCCCAGTAATCACTCTGTTCTCAGTTACTGAGTTGTAGTGTGCTCTTCTGGTTACAAAAGGTGATGTGTGTTCAATGTAGGGCATTTGGACAGTATAGAAAAGCATGAGGAAGACCCCAGTCATCCCACCATCCTGAGATAACCAGTTAGCGAATTTCATCATTGTTTTCCAATGTGTGTATCTACAAAACAAACTTGGGTTCACACGCTATATACTGCTTTGTATTTGTTTTATTTTTTTATAGTTTCAGCTGTATATGACTGTACACTCAATTTCAGAAATAATGAAAATCCAACACTGTTGGGGGTCCTAAATGGGAAGAAATATCATGCCGATTTATATGTCAGGTAAGTTGGTTCCATTTCCTTTCCAAAACAGAGAGCGCCCATCAAAGTAATTAAATCACAAATGGCCTACAGACCTCTTTTCAGGGAAGTCTGTTTTGTATTTTCTTGTCTGCCTTCTGTAATGAAATGAACTTCACAGTCTGTGTTTATATTAGGAACTCAAGACACACAGCACTAATGTCAATAATCAGGGAAGCCTCTACTTTCTGATTCTCTCTGACCAACTCATACTCATCATAGAGCTCAGGTTGGACAGACGGAAGATAGTATTTTAGAGTCATTTTGAGACTGAGTATGAAGAGATTATTTTACTGACCCCTTTTCTTGGAGGATGTGTTTGCTACATACAGATATATACAGATAAGAACACGTAAAACTTATAAGGAGGTCTAGAAACAAATGGAGAACATTTTAGCAGTATCTTATGTGTTATATCCCAAGCTATTATGATTTTATTGAAAAGATTTCACAAGGTATTAGACAAACCCGTTCTCTTGGCCCGCTGGATCAGCTTACAGAACGGGGCTCACCCTGGTCTCCTGCAATGTCATCGAGATGAACGGGAAATAATTGAGAGATACTGCAGACAGTAAAACCCAGCTGGGACTCACACATAAAACCCAGCACGACAGGGCTGAGGGATGGCGCTGGTTTCCTTCACACTAGGTTGTCTTCCCAGAAGGCTAACCAAGATGATCCGACGTGCCCGCTCTTGGAGAACTAGCCAAGTGTTCTAGAACATTCTGATTTCTTTTTAAAAAGACCTTACAGATACTGAAGTATGACAACACAGGACGATGTAAATTCAGTGGCTGATCGTCACCACAAGGCTGCAAGAAGGGCTCAGACCTTCCAGGAGAGATGTTTTGATGGACTGACAGCCTGAATTAAATAGCTTCCTAGCTGGAGAGGACTTTGGCTCCCCCTTACAAATAGGAAAGAAGCATCCTAATTATTCCTGTTTCCTAATGCCACAGCGGACAGTCTACCTTATTCCGCAGTTGAAGGCAGATGAGGGCAGGAAAACCAACCTTCCGGAGGGAGGCCTTCTCCCAGGTGTAAAGGAGGCTTTGCCCCGTGCGCTCTTATCGACACCTGGCAGGAGCCCCACTCAGGGGCCAGCTGGGCCCCAGCTATTTGGGGAAACCTGGAGCACTATTCAAGATCATTGTACCCACTAGGCCGCCTCTCAGGTAACTGCTTCTCTGGAGCACATGTAGGAATGAGGTGTAAACAGCCAAAACCATACCACGTGGGCCCACGGAAGCTGGTGCTCTCCTGGCCTGAGGGCAAGACTGTGCCTCTCCACACACTTGTCCTCATGGCGCAGGTAACCCCTCAGAGGGGAACAGGCTTTCTCGTGCTTTACCTCAATGCAAAGTATTAAAACAGCAAGGGCAGGAATGTCAAGGAAGTTCTTGAAAAGAGCGAAAGGGCCTTAATAAGCCTACTATCCAAATAAACAGTATGCAGGCTCCCTATCCTTTTTCAAGAAACACAGTTAGACATCTGGTTTCCAAACCAGAGTGAGCCAGAAAGAGCGAAGGAGTCGGTATTCGTGGGAGGACGTGGAGGAGTTTACGGGGTGATTTTTCATCGTGTGAAAACAGCCCCGTACAATACAGCCTCTAAGATGGAATCCCACGTTCTCTTAACAGGCTACAGTGTGATGGATACGTCCTAAAAACGTACCTTATGACTAAGGTAGTCCTGAGCCAGAGAGGGACGTGAAGCCCCCCATGGCTGTCATGGGGGACGCAGAATTTCCTGTGCACAACATCAGGGTGAATAAATATGCCTGGAGGTCACAAAAGCCAGCAACCTGCAGACAGACAGAACTAGATCTGCAATAGGGCAACAGGAAATGTGGTCTACTGAACCCCCCTTGCTCAGGGGGGCTGTTGGCAGGTGGCCCCAGAGCCACCCTCGAACCTCATCCACTTCTGGTGAGCAAAGGGCCACGAGGCCTGACCGGGTCCCCTGCTTTCTCCATGTTCCCCAAGATACACGGCCTTCTGTTTGTCCAGACCCTTGCAGCACATCAGCCTCCGCACTGTCCAAGAGGCCGAAGCGGTCATTGGACGGGAGACACTTCATTCACCACTGTATGAAGTCATTACCCGGCGGGGAGAAGCACAGCACGGTTTCAGCTATGTGTAGACTCTGTGTATGTCGGATTATAACAGGTGGCAAATGGGGCAAACTGCCCTCTCTCGGAGGGGCAAACCCCAGATGTTTGGAGCCTCTCCATGAGGTCGGGAGGGAGGACAGGGAGAGGCAGGAGTCCTCGGCTGACACCGCCTGAGTCCCCAAACCTGCCAGAGCAGGCCCTTCCTTCAGGGACCAGCCCTGCATCTGGGCCCGGATCTCCCCAATACGGGTATGAATTTCTGCCTGTCAACTGAATTGCCGTCCGCACACCCACAAGACCCAGGCTCCCTCAGTAAAGCCTGGGGATGTCCAGCATCGTTATGAACCGTGGTTGGGGCACTGGCTCTGGCCGCCTCCCTACCAGCTGCTCTCTGCTTTGCAGGCGGATTCCTCTAGAGGAGGTCCCCGAAGAGGAGGACGAGTGTTCAGCCTGGCTCCACAAACTCTACCAGGAGAAGGTCAGTGCAGCGGGGTGGCTGTGCGGGATCCCAGGACCTGTTTCGAGGTGCAGCTGTGGGTGCACTGTGGGGGCCCTGGGATCCGATGGTGGCAACACCCCAGTTAGCAGCCACGCTGGGGCTGATGCTCTACTTGGCGGGGGGGGAAGACCATAGCAAGATGGGTTTTAAGGGGGCTTCATGGGAAGGATGATGGGTGTAGTGGACAGAAAAGTGATGGCCCCCAACAGCCCGTGTCTACTTAGCAAAAGTAGCCTCTGGTTCTTGGGGGGTAGAGTTCTTTCAGCGATGCGGATGATCCCGATGGCCTCGGACCTACAATGTGGCTGCCTGTAGGGTCTCAAAACCGCGAGCACAGGCAAGATGGAGGCTTGCAAGACTCCGCCTCTGCTGGGTTTGCTCTGGCCCCGTGCCCCCCACTTCCTGGCTGTGCTCTAGCTCTTCAGCAGCCCCCCAGGCCCCTCCGCCGCACACACACCTTCTTTCCTTCCTCTGAGCAGGGCCTTACCTTTCATTGGGTTCTCTCCTCAGACACGTGCAGGGGGCAGAGGGAGTCGCATTCTTAGGGCCCTAACTGCTTGATCTTATGAAGGAGAAAAGGTTAGCGCCCACCTAGTGAGGAAGGTGTTTTTTTGACCACGTCTCGCTGCCCATAGAGACTTATTTCTGATTCATCATGCATTTTAAGGCCAAACCAGCCTAGAATCGAGTACACAGAGTAGGATACTGACTTCCTGGTGCTGAATTCCATAAATACAGACCGGTTGGCAGGTGCTGTCTTTTTCTCCCCACTCCGCTAGGGAAGATAATCACACGGAACTTTATGGGCTGTCTGCTCCAGTTGGATAAGCATTCTAATCCTTCCTTTGAGAATGTGTTTTGGCCCCAAAGACCCCCAGATTACCACCATCAGATTAAGTAGAGACTTCTTACAAATATGCTGTTTGGGGATCAAGATCCTGATACTCTCACAGCAAGAAGTCACTCCTGTGTTCCCCAAAAGTCACTTTTGCAGAACTTGCCATTTTGGGGTCATTTCTGGACGGGTATAGGGATAGGCATCCAGTCTCCTCTTCCAAACAGCACACAGGGACCTGTCACAGAGCGGGGACCGTGCAGCCCCCTCAGCCTCGGAGATTCACCCCGTAGGTCCGGGGGGGCCTAGAAATGCGTATTTCTCAGAGGCCGCCTCAGACACATGGCCTGTGGGCCCATGCTCGGAAACGTACTGCGGATGCTTTTAAACGGGGTTCCCAGTTAGGAAGGTTCTGTGCTGCTGCAGGCCTGGGCCTGACAGAAACACGCAAACGATATATATTCTTTTCCTCTGGTTTCACGCACGGGGTGGCATTTTTCCTTGTGCTGTTTTCTGGTTTAATCCTCTGGGCGGTATACAACATGTCACTATTAGCGAGAAGAAAAATGCGCTAAGGCCTCGGAAAGGAATGCTTTCGTAAAGAACCACACAAACAAATCTAACAAACGCGGGCCTCAAACCCACCAAAGCAAAGGAGGTTTTTCTCCATGGGCCCGTTCTCTGCTGTGCTGAGGCGGGAGACTGGTGGCCATTGTGTGACCCGAACCACTTGGGCGTTCAGCGAAGAAACACCTCTCCTTCCTGATGAGGTCTCTCCAGAGGCTTTTCTCTAAACTACATATGCATTAAAATGATAGGGTTCAGTTTGGAAGGGGTTCTCAAAACGATCATCTGGTGCAAAGAAACTGAGGTTCAGAGAATGACATGCCCAGCTCCCATCTCCCTACGGGCCACGTCTATGAACAGACCTGGGAGGCTGGCCTTTTCCCCAGAGAGGCCACCTGAGCAGTGAGCAGGAGGGGTCAGCGGTGCCTCCAAGAGGAACTGTGAACAGACGGGGAGGAACCCCAGCATCCTGTCGTTTCTGTGGCAGCCCTGTCCCCTCAGAAGCCTCGATGGGCCTGGGACTTTGTGTACCAGAAATCCCGGTGCCCCACCACGCTTGCCAAAGTGGGGTTCTGTGTTAAGCGTCACCTTTCAGATGTATGGTGTTGAAAGACAATTCTGCTGACGTTGAGCTTTGGACTTCAGGGCAGCAATTCTCTGGCTTTGCTTTCACAGACAAGTAAAGTGTCTGCAAAGTGTGGGAGGGGGTGCTGGGCGGCCAAACAGGGACGTGGCAATGTTTCATTCTGTTCAGGCAGGAACATAAAAAGAAATCCACTATCTACCACTGCCATTTTAATACTCTCAAGTAGGAAGGGCATCATCTCTGAAAACGGGGCCATCCTTTAAGTGGAACAGATTTAGCGTTTAGAAAAGGCACAACGCTGATGACCTGTCAGCATCCAGGACCGCCGCTGGCTGCAGGGTGGGGGCTTCGGGAAACCACCCGTGACCTCACATGATCTCTTTGGGGACAACAGCAGTGCCCAAATCGCTTTTCCCCTGAGCCATCATGGTTACCCCATGGTATGGTTTGAACCAATTCTGACTTTTCATTTCTGACTTGTTACTTCCTTACTCCCCTGGCCGGCAGTCTGAAGTCTGCCGAAGGGATGAGGAATTAGCCATTAATGGTGCATGCTGAAAAGCAGGTGAAGGAAGCGGCGTCCGAGCTGTCCTGTGGGTGTGGAGGGTCCACGGGGGCCGCGGTTGGGAGCTGCTCTGTGTGGGGTGCAGAAGCCAGCAGGAAATGCTTCAAGCACAAGGACGAAGGCTTTTCCACGCTGGCGATGGCTTCTGCATGGACCCCGAGGGCATTGCTCCTTGGAGTGGCGGCAGGATCTCCGGCTGGGCCCCGTGGTGCAGTCCTTTGCACACAACACGCTCGGGCCTGAGGTCTGCCTGCACGGGGAGCGCTGTCCTCTGAAGGGTCCCTCCTGCCCTGGCCCGCTGACAGAGGAGCCAGCTCTGACCTCCTGTCCCTCTCTTTCTTTCCCTGCTCTTCCCTCTTCCCCCCCCTCCCTCCTTTCTCCCCCAGGGACTTAGCAAAGACATTTTATTTTGCGGAGCCAGCCGGTCCAGCTCTTTGAGGACGGCCTGGCCTTTGGTGCCGTGTCTCGGGGCTTCGGTTATGTGCTGCAGACTCTGAGCACTCAGGGGTTTGTCCTTTGTTGGGAGCATCTCCCCCTTTAGACTTCGGGGTTGAGATTTCTTTCTGGAAACAAACTCCCCTTTCACTAAATACGTTCCCCAATTCCAACTTACCCTATGCCACGCAATGCTAACAGATGGCAACAAAAAATGGAAGCATCATTAACCCCGGCCATCTCCCCGTGGGGCAGACTTGATTACAAAGGACGTGACATGGCCGGGAGGGGCCAGGAACGTCCTGCTGCTGGAGCGGACATCGGGCCCCGGCCAGGCGCTCCCTGTCCCACCCTGCAGGTCACAGAGCCACAGTGACGCCCCTGGAAAGCCAGCAAGGGCTACGGCACCAGTCCCTGGGGGGCAGTGAGGGGTCTTGGGGAGAGATTCAGTTTTCTAAGCAAAACAGAGAAAAAGAAAACTCTGGAGTGAATGAGTTCGGACCCCTAGGAAAGGGGGTGCTTTTTCCTCTTGCTGGAGGCACAAATAACTTTTGGCTTTAGCGAGTATCTTTCTGGCCCGAGACGGGAAAAGCAGACAGGTTCCCCGAAGAAACATCACAGTAGACGGGTACCTATCAAAACTCTTAAGCAAGAGAATTAAAAAAAAAAAAAAAAAGGCCCGTTTTTAAAATGGGGGAGTTTGATGGTATGTAAATGACACCTCAATAAAGCTGTTTTTTAAAGGCCCGGAAGTACGCCCTCCCGTCTCAGTCCCGTCAGGCTTCTATGTCAAAGGGCCAGAGACCGGGTGGCCTGTAAATCTCACGGGCCCGGGGGCCAGATCAGGAGCCTGAGAGTGTCCCGAGCCCAGCACACCAGGGATTAGGCTTCCACATGGAGATTCCGGGGGGACACAAGCATTCAGCCCGGAGCACCCCCCTTACCGAGTTATTGGGCTCCTGTTATTGTACCCTGGGATGAGAAAAATCACCCAGGTTCATGGCCGGCCTTGGCAAAGTGAGGGGCCGTCGCTCTGGGCACTGGACAGGTCACTGTCGCTTCCCCAGAGGTTGTCTGCGTCAGCCACAGGCTCTGGGGACTCATTTTAATAATGACTCTCCGTGGTGACAAAAGCATATTACTCAGTACATCCTGACTGGGTAAAAAAGAGAAGTATGGTCTCTTTTAGAGATTGCTCTCTCAGGCTGTTAAAGGGAGAAGTTGGGCACCTCGGGTGTAAGTTCCAGGTAGGTGGAAGCTCGTTTCCCAGGAAACTCGACTCTTTGGACAACTGGAACACCACCAGGCTCTGACGGGGGCCCCACGTGACCCAGAGATGGGTTTTGTTCAGCGTGCACGCTGTCAGCCCCCAGGATGCTTTCAGGATATTTTAGTTTGTTGCTGATACTTAGAAGCGGGCAAAGTCCCCGTGGCTGCCAGTCGCCAGCCCCCATGCCACACGGTGCCCAGGGACGGTGCTGCTATCCTGGTGTGGGTCTCTCTGGCCCTGTTGCCTGTCGCCTGGCCCCGTGGTGTCACTCACTCCCATGGCCACCAAGCAGCACCTGGGGTCTCCCGGGAGCCGCTGGAGGGTGCTCGCTGCGCAGGCCCGGCCTCGGGGCTCCCTGGTGCGCCCCATGCCCGACCGAGACCCCTGCAGGCTCCTCGGTGACACACACACACACACACTCAGGGACAGGCGGTCCCCTCATCCACGGTCCCAGTCAGCAGCGGCCGCTGGTGGTCCAGAAGCCGGGGTATCTGCAGACAAGGGGGGCCTCCTGTATTTAATCTCAGGTCGGGCACCGATGAGAGAAGCTGCTCCAACCTGTCAGGTCAGGGGCCTGCTGACCACCCGGCTGTCTCGACAGTCACTTCACAGGGCTGCTGGGCAGTGCCATGCTGTCGTGGGTTAGGTGCAAGAGGGCGAGCTCATGGCTCTGCCCGAGGCTCAGGGTTCTTCTAGTCTGTTCTGCGGGCGTTCACTGAGGGCAGGTTCGGTGTCTCGTTCGTTCTCCACTGGCCTGTTCTGGGGGGCGGGCAGTACCGCCCCTCTTGCCGACCGGAAGCTGGGCCGCAGAGGCTGGCCACCCGACCAGAGGCAGGTAAGTACCGAGGAGCCGACTAGGATGGCCCCGGGCTGGCCTGGCACCAAAGCTCGAGCTCCTACGCCTGGGCTAGAGGCAGAGCTGTGACGTCCCGCCTCTGTGTCACTGTGGGAAGGGGACGCCAAATTCAGTGCTGGGAAGACCCCTCAGGCGCCTGCAAGATGCCACTCGGGTGGTGCTGCGGCCCCCACCCCAGTTCTGCTGAGCTCACAGCAGCCCCCGGTGCCCCGGGAAGGGCCTGCACGAGCGCGGTGTCATGCACGAGCAAAGTGCCTCAGGGTCGCCTCTCTGTCCCCAGGATGCCTTCCAGGAGGAGTACTACAGGACGGGCACCTTCCCAGAGACAGCCATGGTGCCCCCCCGGCGGCCCTGGACGCTCATCAACTGGTTGTTCTGGGCCTCCCTACTGCTCTACCCTTTCTTCCGGTTCCTCATCAACATGATCAGCAGCGGGTCTTCCCTAACTCTGGCCAGCTTCGCCCTCGTCTTCTTTGTGGGTAAGCAGAGAGCAAGAGCCCTGCCCCAGCCATGCTGCCGTGAGGAGCATCTGACCGGGGGACAGGGGGAGGCAGAAGGGCGGGTACAGTCGTGCCAGGTGTCGCAGCGTCTAGGAACAGGAAGCACAGCCTGCAGACGGACAGGGAAAACTAGCTTGCAGGACTCACGGTCAAACACACCCAGAATCCCAGGCCTGGAGGAATTCACCTGTGGTTGCTCCCCCTGGGGCTCGGCGAGGCAGCAGCGACCGCTCAGCTCTGCTCACTCTCATCATTCCTTCCTTCGGGGCCCAGCAGCACTGGGCAAAGGCTCCTGGCCATTCAGAGCAGGTCCCGGCCCCTCTGGGGAAGTGCGAGTGCTTCTAGAAGGCGGTTGCCACTTGCCCGGCATCGAATAGAAAGGTCTGGGAGCAGCCTTGCATTAATCCACACCGACTTCGTTGACCAGGCGTTTCAGACTACTTTGGTCTCTTCACAGCCCCAGGGTTCCCTGCACACTGCCACTGGTCTTTGAAGTGAGGCAGCCGGCGGGGGGGAACTTGGTAGGATTCCCTGGGAGGGGCAGCCCCATTTCACGGCCAGCCCCTCTGAAATGTACCCTTCCCTGGAGTCTGAGGAGGAAGTGTCCTCCTTTGAGACTCTGGAAAGCACGGGCAGAGTGTGCCCTGCCTTCCTGAGACCAAGAGGACATGGCATGGAGTCAAAGCATGCAGTGATCTGTGTGCTTGTTTCAAATGGACGTAGCTCAGTTATTCCAGCAAAAGACACAGGTGCTGACTGAATGCTCAGAAGACGCCAACACACAGAAGTGCATAAAACTGGAAGTGTCTCAGGACAGAATTCCCCTTTGAGCTTACGCCCCAGAGATGAATCATCATTAACAGTTTGGTGCACCTTCTTCTGGACTCAGACATATATGCATAAATACACAGATGGACTGTCCCTAGTGCAGTTTTCACCTAATAAATTGTGGCCACCTGCACACCTCACAACACACAAAACCTAGCTCCTTCTTTTGGATCAAGCCAACCAATTCTAGACTGTTTGCAATAGGCAAGTTGGCTGCTATTCTTGAAGTAGATCCTACTGTCACCTTTTTTAAAATGAAAAATGTATTTTAATGCTGAAAATTAAAATACTACCTGCCCTGTGTAGAAAAAAGAGGGTGCAGGAGAAAACCCGTTTCTAACAATTTAACTCCCCCAACACAGGCCAGAGGACTCCCCCGCCCAGGGCTGCTATGTGCTGGCCAGGTGCCAGGAGCTGCGGTTGTCAGGGTCCCCGGAGGGAGGGGAGCAGACTGAGCCTATCCGCCTTCAGTGGGGCTCCTTGGTGATGAAGGTGTGCAGTGCATGCCCAAACGGGGGCCGGACACCCTTCCCACGGAACGGGGTCTCCGGGAGCTCGGAGGAGCTGACTGCCCTGAGCCCACAGACCAGTGCCTCATCTGCTGTGAGCCTCACTACACTCTGCCCGGGATGTCGGTATTTGGGTCTCGTTCCCCTTCCCAGGCCTCTGAGCAATGGAGCCGATGTCTTTCGCACCCCTTGGTTCTCCACAGTGTCATCCCCGCCGCCGCATGGTGGCTCTAGTATTGGGACAGGCCTTCCTAGAACTGCCCGTTTGTAACCGGCCCAGGGACACCCGGGCCTCGTCGGGCCGGGCTGCGCTCGCCCGTCAGCTCCACGTGAGTCTGAGGGACGGTTCGCAGACCACAATGCTTGTGCACGCGGAGATTTCAGTTATCAGCCATTTATCCACTCTGAAATGTGTATTATGTGCTTGGTGCTGGGCTCCTCAGGGGACTCAGACGTGCTCCCTGCCCTGAAGGACCTCACCGAGTCTGCCGTGTCCGAGACAGCAGCTTCGACTGCAGCGTGTGACCTCGGCCCTGTTGTCCAGCTTCCTGGTGGCTCTGCCGGGCTCACGAGGGTCCCTCCTGGTCTCTGTTTGGGCCCATCCCGCTGGGAGCCAGGGGCTTTTCCCCGTTCACAGCTCTCTTACCCCAAGAGCAGAGCTGGGCACTACATAGACATTTGGGCTCTTGCACTCTCCAGGTTCCTGGTAGGTTATCCAGCTTCGCTGTAGGGTGTTTTATTAAGTTCCTGCCCTGCATTTGCAAAAGCATCCTCTTTGCCTTGGGGGCCAGTATAACAAGCAGAGGAATTCTGTAAGCCTCGTGTACAGTGGAGTGTGGCTTAGCAACCTCGAAGGGTTGAAGGATTAAAACCCACCAGCAGAACAGCCTCGCTGTTTGTTTTAATGTCACTTAGTCTGACGCCCATGCTCCAGGAGAACTCCAGCAGGATTATGCCCTGGGCCCCAAGTTAGCCGGCGAGATCTCAGCTGCTGCTTGAGGTCTGCCGACAGCAGGCCTCCCCGCATTCTCCCCGGCAGAGTCCCCCGGGGGCTCCTAACTCCCCGCGCTTCCCATTTCTGCAGCTTCTATGGGAGTTCGATGGATGATTGGTGTGACAGAAATCGACAAGGGCTCTGCCTACGGCAACATCGACAGCAAGCAGAAACGGAGCAACTGACCCCAGACACATGAGCGCCCGGAGGGGCCCTTGGGGACTGGTGGACGCTGCCAGCCATCCTTAGTGGGACCCGGGGACGAAGCGGGGTGAGCCCCTGCTGGGAAGGCAGTTTGGTCTCCATGCCAGATGGGGAGGAAGATGTTCTTAAATCTTTTATCCCCCCATAATGCTTAAGTGGGTTTTGATTTTCTTTTTGAGTGTGAGTGTGTGTGTGTGCGTGTAAGGGAAAGGATACATATAAGTCAGAATGATGTGCGGTTGAGTGTGAGCCTTATTTTGTCATCATTCAGAGGGGATCTGAGGCACAGGGGGAGGGCAGGGATGGGGAACAGAGGGTTCCCCTTCATTCTTTGGTGCTGAGTTTTCTGTACTGGATTGCGAAAGAGTGAAAGGCGCTTTAGGTAAGATGACTAAATTATGCCTCCAAAAAAACAAACTGTTTGGCTCCCTGTGCTATGTGTTTCCACAGACTGCTCCATCCTCCCGCTCCGCCCTCTGCCGTTGTTCTGGGGTTCTGGAAGGCAGTGACCCAGCAGCGCTGCCCGGAGGGAGCGGGGTGGACTCAGGACACGGGGGGCGGGGTGCTGGATGGGGCCCCCCGGCCACAGACACAGGTGCAGGAACCTGGGGGGGGGGCGGTTAAGGGATACGGCAGGTGCTGGGGGACGAGCTGAGCACGTCTGTCGGACGTAGTGAGAGGCCCTGTAAGGCAGCTTTGGTTTTCTCAATCTGCTGGCAATGGAGCCTCCCTGGCCCACGTCTTGAAGGGGTGGGCAATTCCCTGAAGAACCTGAACGGAAAAATAAAGGGCAGGCATCTTGCAGCCATTTGAGAAATGACTTTAAGTGCACTGCTTATCTCAGGAGCAGGTAGAACCTGGGTCCCCCAAACCAATACAGGCTCGTGCAGGAGCCAAGGTACTCCTCTGAGCAGGGTCAGACCGGAGTAAACACCGGCGTATGAGGACCCCCTGGGCATCCACTCTTCTTCCGGGAGCCCAGACTCTCACACCACGAAAGAGGGCTGCTCCTTGACACGCGAGGCCTTCTTTGGAGTAAGGACCACATGCTGGACCTCTGCAAACTGTGCCAGTCCAAAGGGGCCACATGCACAACATGAAAGACAAGCAGCAATATCTCTGGCGGAAAACATTTAGCTACGGGACACGCTGTCCTCTCAGGCCAAGGCACTGATGGCATTCACACTGGTGGGGATTTAGGGGCACACGAGGTAAGCAGAAGGCTTTCTCCCTGTGCACAGCTACACGCTGCTGGGACAGAGTTCTTCGTCGCTATGCTCACAGAAGAAGGGACAAACTTCCATCCAAAAGTTGGGCATAAACTATTCAGAATCACGTTTTTAGAGGGTTTGCTCATTTACTCACCAAGGGTTTCCCAAGCACAATGGAACTAGGTAAGCCAGGGAGTTCGGAGAACACCCGAGAGAAGCTCTCTCTGCTGAAGGGATAATAACGTATCATTGACAAGAACTGCAGAAGCGAACAGAGAAACAGATTCTGGCTTAGCTGTGGGAAGGGAGTTTCGGTGAGGCCAGAGCCTGAGCTGACATTTGCAAGCATCCCTGAGAGCAGGGGTGATGAGCCCATGCATTTGCTCACCCTGCGTCAGGCCACAGGTGGGTTTCAAACAGTCTTCCCCCAGAGCAAAAAGGACGGAGATTCGTGGGCAGGAGCACGGGGATGACCACTGCAGGCCCTGGGCGCAGCTCAGGCGTCTGTACCCACGTTCCCGTATGTCCGCCTGCACCTGGATGTGGGGACTGCTCTGCGCCAGGGACTCCTCGCTCCGCAGCAGAGCCGAGCAAGGCAGTCAGGGGGGTCGGTCCTGGCCGCAGCTGCGTGCCCCCCCCCACCCACCGCCCCGGCACTCTGCAGCTCACTCGTGGTCTAAGCCCTTGGGTGAGCCATCTTACCTCAAGAGTCCCAGTTTCCCCATTTGTAAAATGAGGGCGATCATACCTGCCTCCTGGGTTGTTTCAAGGGTAAAATGAGGCCGTGTATGTGAAGACGCTTTACGAATCCTGAAGCACTAAACACAGAAGGGATGAGAGAGTAGAAAGCTGCCTCCCTGCTGCAACTTCGCAAAATGCTCAGGAACAACCCTGAGGTGTCCAAAAATATGTCACTCCCCCCATGAATATAGTGATCGAGCGCTAGTAACATATACCCAGCCTTGGCCCTAGAACCTAACACGCGAGCAAAGGCAGGCTGCTCACCAGCGCTGTGGGTCCAGGTCGGAGGAAGGCAGGCAAAATACTCCCCTGGGAAAAGAACTCATCAGCGCTCCTCACAACTGCCTAGGTCGCAAGAGAATGTGGTAGTCTGGGGACGCATCCTGCCATCTTTTCAGCTGTCTGGCCCTCCCACGAAGAAGCAATTTGTTAGGAGGTGTGGGCAGCTGGTCTCCCTTCTGCCCCTGTTCCCGTAATGGCAGAGATGAGCATGGTGCCCTGGAGAGACCCAGCGCTGGACCCCCTAACCCTCCCAGGATATAGATTTCGTACAGAATTAAAGCCCCATGGAGGTTAAGCCACCTGTAGTGAGTGTTAGTCCCTGGAGGTGCGTCATGGGCAAAGAGCTTCGTGTCCTAACACTTCCATCTCATGGTAGCTTGGGTCAGCCCTGCTCAGAGCCAGCTCGGAGATCCGACGTAAAAGAGAAAAATCATCTTCCTGCACTCTGGAGAGCGATGGCCACTTTCCAGACTTCCCTAAAGCTTTGAGGCAGGGAGTCTGATGCACTTGTAGGAAACCAAGCCCCCAGAGTGACTTTCTTTACTAAAAACACCAGCCATCCAAAACGCAGCTTGCAGCTGGGCAAGTGGACCGATTCGGTGACTGCTGAGTGGACAGGAGTTACCGTGGAGGACGAACTAACACACTCTGTGAGTTAGTCTCTCACCTTGTTTCCTTTTTTTTTTCGAGAGAACACAACCTTTCTCCTGTGATCACATAGTAGTACTGGAGTTATCTCTTTTTTTTTTTTT